TCTCTCTCTCTCTCTCTCTCTCAAACTCGCTCGCTCGCTCGCTACCTAGCTCTCTCTCTCTCTCTCGCTCCGCCCCTCCCCACTTTTCTCTTGCTTTATTCGTACTTACTTTTTATATAAAATAATAAATTCCAATCTCACCACACCATTTTCTACTTATGACGCCCATGATTTTCTTCCAGTTTCGTTATAAGTCATATTTGTTTCTCTTCCGGCTAGATTTTGCAAAGGATTTTTCGGTAAAGCTTTAGTTTCCTTATTTTTTCTTTGGTTCAATTCGTTCTTGAGAAATTTTCTTTTAGAAACTCCAGGAACGTTTTAAAAAAAGATTATCCGTGAAGTCGACAACAGAAATAGTAATTAGTGAATGGGCGAGCGATCGAAACGAATTCTTGGTCTGAAAAGTGTACACTAACTGAACTGTCTCATGAATTTCAGATTATCTCCAATCAAGAAAACTGGGCCTGTCGGGTGCAGAGTACATTTCACTTTTATTTTCTTCCAGTTGTTGCTTTTTAGCATTTTGTTTTGTTCCTTGCCCATTCCTGTCCAATGATGCCTTTATGTTTAGAAGACAAAACAGAATGTGCTCTTATAAATTAGTATTCCTATAATGTTGCAGTTAGAGAGAATTACCGAATTTAACAATATAGAAAGTATAAATATCTATTTTCTACCACGGGTACAATAAAGTATTCAATCTTATCTTAAATTGTTTTTACATGGTTGTCTTCCTCACCCTTGCTTTTATGCTGCTGACACCTTTGCTTCTGTTGTCATGTTAGGGAATTGTAATCTGACCCACAGTAGATTTACACCTCCTTGTTGTTAAGTCATTAATCCTACACTCATCAACTCGTTAGAGCCCGACGGCACCAACCCTCTTACTTCATAGTAAGAAAAATAACTTTGTTGTGTAAGAGTACACTATCAATCAAATCAATAGTTGACATTTTTTAAAATAACATAAAGGCATGGCCCTTTTTGCCCTATTCTTCATCTCTTAATTGCCATGTAATTTTTTGCCAAGGCCTATTGAATTATCTAGGCAGCAAACACAGCAATGCACTCACGCAGGCGATGGAAATGTATACAGTCTCCAAAGCATTACGTGAGAACATTGAGCGTTGTCCAGTTGCCCCCCAATTTGATCCGTGGCGAAGTCATTAATTAGATTTTATGTGTTGAGGGGGGACAAAAAAAACCAAACAACAACAAATAAACAAACAAACAAACAAACTTACTACACTGGAAGCACAGCAAGGTTTGCTGATTCGCTACCCGTATATTGTGTGCTGATTTTCCCAGCTGTTTGATTCCGTCATATCATTCATCGTAACAGAGATAGCGAGAAAACTGATTATTTTTTTGGTCATGGTGAATAGATATCAGCTTGACGTCATACCATTCCTTTTTAGGCAACAACCGTGCTTACTTTCATACTTCTATCTGAAGGACACCGAGGCTATATATAGTTGCGATAACTAGGGCTGGGCAATGAGTCGCTTTAGGAAAAATCCGGATAATATGTTAGTGCGCCTCTTCGGTAAATAATGTTATGAACCGATTAGGCAAATGGGTTAAAACCACTTTGACAAACGAGTTAGCATCCCTCCAACAAATGGGAGCACCCACTTCGCCAACCTGATCAGGAGAGAGAATTAGGAGTCTGAATTCGGATAATGTACTTATTGAGGATTATCCGATTATCTGGATATTTATTCGGATTTTGCCCACCTCTAGCGATTACCCAAAACCGACCTTTTAAGCGAAACTGAAACTAAGCATACTAGGAAAATAGAAGCGATGAGTCAACGTTGACGAAATTAGACCGAGGCGATGAGAGAGTGAGGAAGGGGCGGAGAAAGGCCTTAGTGAGGGCGGAGAAAGGCCTTAGTGAGGGCGGAGAAAGGCCTTAGTGAGGGCGGAGAAAGGCCTTAGTGGGGGCGGAGAAAGGCCTTAGTGAGGGCGGAGAAAGGCCTTAGTGAGGGCGGAGAAAGGCCTTAGTGAGGGCGGAGAAAGGCCTTAGTGGGGGCGGAGAAAGGCCTTAGTGGGGGCGGAGAAAGGCCTTAGTGAGGGCGGAGAAAGGACTTAGTGAGGGCGGAGAAAGGCCTTAGTGGGGGCGGAGAAAGGCCTTAGTGGGGGCGGAGAAAGGCCTTAGTGAGGGCGGAGAAAGGCCTTAGTGAGGGCGGAGAAAGGCCTTAGTGGGGGCGGAGAAAGGCCTTAGTGGGGGCGGAGAAAGGCCTTAGTGAGGGCGGCTTTTTTGTGTTAGCCGCCTCTCATAGAGCAATGATTGAAGATATTACATATTACGTTGCACGATGGTGAAATGAAGTGCTCGTCAAATGTTTTTAGTTAAACATTGAATCGCAGAAAATTCTATTATCCCTTTCGTTGGGAACTTTTTATTGCTTTTTTTTGGCTCAAGGCCGTTTATGTCCATTTAAAAACACATTAAATTCTATGTGGAGTTTACTTTAAAAAACATAGGTCAAAAGTACAACAAAAAATATATCTAAAGTTTCCAAGGACACCCAAGCTCTGGATGTCACAAGACATTGGCAAGTATTTTCTCGCAAATTTTACTGTTGACTCTAAGCAACCACCACCTCCTTTAATCGCAAATGTTCCGACTTCAAGGAAAATTAGCACTCTTTCATCAACATTAGACAAACGAACAGGCTTATACCAACAAATTTATAAGGCTCAAATTGACGAGCGCCTGATTCCACCGGGTCGAGAAACATACGTTGTCCAGCGACAAGATGAAACCAAAAAAATATTAATGATACACGTGTAAAATTGAAGTATTTGATTTTACAGCGTGTGTATCACAAAGTTTCTTTTATTTTGGGATCTCTTTTCATTCCTGTCTGGTGCGTGTCACGATAAGAATGTGGGTTATTCAACTCGGTCAGACGATATTCCGGACCAACAAACCCGACAGGTAACATCAATGGGCCCCCAGCTTTATCAAAACTATCATTTGCAATAACCATTGGAACCTCAACCAAATGCGTCTGTACCAATCAATAATCATCTCACGAGTGAATACGGGGTATTTCTCAAATTTCTTTATCATTATGCTTTAACCCCC